TACCTCTTGTCTTAAGATCTTCAGGGCTATGCTGTGGTCCTCTGCCTCTAAAAAGGAATCCTTGGGCTGCCTGGCTTTCCTGTGCTGAGAAGTAGATGGCAAGCTTGCAAGGAAGGGAGAAGCAAGAAGTAGAGCCCCTAAGCATCCATTTGCTGCGTGGATAGCAAACTGGATCACTTTCTCAATAATAATAATTGTTGTTGAGAGTCAGGCGACATACAAGTTTAATAAATAATAATAATAATAATAACTTGTATGTTGCCCGACTCTCAACCACTCTGGGCTGCTCACAGCAATCAAACAAAGAAATTACAATAACTCCCATTTGTCAAATTGCATATCTCAGCCTTCATTCTACCAGTTTGTAATTTGGGGTACGTCAGTTTAGACTACCAATATTTCTACAAAAACTAATAGTTATCAAACAATGAGAAGTGACACTAGTCCCTTGAGCTGGGGATGCACCCTGGGGCCGGAACAGATGATTGCAGCTTAGTGAATTCTGCCTTGTTAATGAGAACAAGTCGATGAAAGCTCGTGCATTATACTGTCTAAGTGATTGATCAGGCAGCAAACTGTATTTGCCGTGAATCTGATTTTGGAAGGGCATCTCTTTCAGTGTGACCCTTTCCCTTGCCCCACGTCTCATTGAGGTAACCTGAGAAGCTGGTTTATAGTTGCCAAGGGGTCATCTCCTGGCAGCTCCATTCAGCCTTCCTACAACTGCCCTAGAATGCGTACCCTCCTGAACTGAGAGACCTCAGCATTTTGTTGGCTTCCAAGAAGGCTTTGAAACATGCTTTTAACCATTGATTTTAATTATTTTTAACTGATGTCAGTAATTGTTTTAAACTTCTTTGGTTGAATTTTGATTTTATATTTTATTATAAACTGCTAAGCGATCTTGTGAGCTGGCAGTTTTAACTTTGTGCAGCAGCAACCAGTGCCTTTGTGTGGCTGGTGCCATAACTTTAGAGAGGCACTGGACATTTTCAGAGAAGCCAGGTGATGTCTGTGGCTAGAGGACTTGGTGTTGACAATCCCTTCTTTCTTCAGGATAGGAACCAATCACAGGGAAGGTGTTTCTAGGGAGGTAGAGTTGCTTGCACACCTCCCTTCTAGGACCAGCTACACTTGAAATGGGTCTGTCTAGGCTTAGGGAGGACAGATCTTGAGGATTTGAATGATTTCAGAAAACAGGGTTTCTTTCTTTAAATAAGAGAAATCAGAATCTCATAAATATACTATGTGTTGTCAAGTTGTACAGGCATGCAATATTACAGTAATTCGTTTTCTTTTTAAATACTCACTCCTTATGCCTCTAAGATTAGGTGGCAGAGCTTCCAAATTAGACAGGCTTGCTTCTAGAAAAAGACAAATCCATAAAGTTAAATTTGGCTTTTTTTGGTCCTGTTTTTGTACCAGCAAATTCTTAAGTACAGTAGTACAGAAATTCATACATTCAGTGTGCATTTTTATACTGACTTTTCCAAATATATGAATTTTTCCAAGAACTTTTCTCTAATGTAGTGTTAATGTTTTCACAGCATACGTGATTTTGCAATAATAGTCCTAATGTGCCCACTTTTGTAAGTATTTTTGTTGGTCTGGAAATAATAATGTCATGGTGCATTATCTATTGGTTCAGGAAATTAGGCAAATTCACAATAAGATATCATCTAAACTAATTTCTCCCATTTCTAATTGTTTCCAAGCTGGCTTTTTTATGGCTCAATGTGTAGTGTAAACCTAGCTAGTTGTGCCTTATTTAACAAACCATAATTAAATATATCCTGGCTTTGTGTGATACATAAACACAATTAATATGTAGATTCTGTATCTCCACACTGATGTGCGGACGCAGAATCACATTTGCCACAGGACCATAGAAGTGCTATCATAGAAGCTAATTCTTCTCAATGAGGGAATGAGGCTTCTATGGAACAGTTCCACCTCCATGAAAATTACAGGCATGGTTTTTGCTCTAGACGTTCTTTTGTTTATAAAATTGTTCTGGCTCTGGGTTTCTTCCTCTGGCCCCTCCTGAGCTACATACAATGAAGCTTTCACAGTGGCTGACGGCACACAGCTGCATTTATAGCAAAACTTCATAAACACCCCAAAGTATAAAAATATGATCCACCTCCAGCCCCACCACAGAGGTCCTGGCCAATGGGGAGGTGAGGCGGTTCCTGCCGGCACAGGGAGGAAGTGTGGTCTTACAGGTGGGCACAGGGCCATCGCAGCACCATCCCTCTGGCAAAACTGCTACTTTTTAACATGTTTCATCTGTTTCCCTGCTGTTTCTCTTCCAAATATGCTCACTTGGGATATGGAGGAGGGCAGGCATGGACCGCTATGTGTTTTTTCTGGGACTTTGGTTCTTCTCTCTCTCCCTCATGCAAACCCACACGCATATGCACACTGAGGAAATTCTTAACACAGTCATCTTCTCCAGCCCAAATGTCACCTCTGTTCCAGCACTGAGTGGATGGAACAGAGAACTTGGTGGCAGCAGCAGTTCTGGTACTTAGCCAACTGGGGTCCAGTTCTGGTTTGGCAAGAAAAAGAGCTGGATTACTGCCATTCCCCTGCAGCTTACCTAGCTGTCTAGTTCCCCCCTCCCCTCCTGCACCCTTTTCAAAGGCAATCCAGCCATAGCACATGGGGAGACAGCTGTTAGAACAGGCTGCATGAGTGAGGAAGACTGTGATCTTCTAACTATCCAATCCATATCCTTCATAGAGGGGAGCTCCTTTTCTGCAGCTGTAAAATGAACCTGGGAAGCCAGGATTATTAAATCTCATTCTAGACTTATCTCTCTTCCCAAGAGCTGCAAAATGAGCCCAGGACTCCTGGCTTTTTATGTTTTCTTCTCTCTCTCTCAGCCTCCAGCCTTCTTCTTGGTCTTGGTTCTCTGCCGGGAGTCGGGATTGAGAGAGATGAGCATTCATATGGAGAGTTTGGTGCCTGTGCTATGATTTTGGGGATGGCAGTCAAAGAGGTCACAAAGGACTTTCTGATGATTCTGTTTTGCTCTCTAGCTGGAAAAAGCTGCATTCATTGCATTGGCCACTGATATTTGTGCAGATGAACTTTGAGCAAGGAAATTTGCAAAGTCTTCCTCCAGCTGTTCTCTTCTACAAGAGAGAGCCTGGATTAATTAATGTACCGTGCTGTGGTGGAGACTGAAAAGGCAATAAAACATCAAGTGATTATTGGCTCTGCTGGACTTTGTACTTTTTCCTGGTTTTTATGTTTGAAATAAGTATTGCCTCAGGGACCACCAGCTTGTAATCTGATTCTGGTTTAGACTGGATAGTACCAGGTTTCAGCAGGCTGGATTCCTCTCCTACCTAACATGGTCTTTTGAAATGGATTTCAAATATCTGGCATAGGCAGAGTGACTGGACTGTTACAGGAGGAACCCTACCCTGAAGTACCCTGCTGCTTGCAAAAAGCATATGGCACACATTCCACCTCTCCAAAGCACCTGAATCTCCTAAATCAGTCCCATTTTGGATCCTGGCCTCACCCTTTTCATAGTACAGTCTTCAACATGCCACAGAATGCCTGGCCTGACCCTTGAGTTGACAGAAGTTGTGCAACCCTGACATAAAGGAACATTCATAAATTCAACCCCTCATTTATCATCATCAGTTCTAATTATACCTCACACTGCATAAGTAGATCAGGTCTAATTCTTCACTTTGCCCTCCCATTTTCTTCTAAATTTATGCTCCATGTGGCCCATGAATTGGGTAGGGTTCTGTCTGGTTTTTCTTCTGAGGGAGGTGATGAGGTATGATGGGGCTAAAACTGAAGTAAATTTAGAAAGTCTGTGGATTAGATTCTTCTTGTTCTAACTACCTGATTCAAATACACTGCATATTCTCTGTATTTTTCACAATAGCTGTGTTTTACTCGTTCACAGTTGAATTTAATGCTTAGTTAAAAACTTTAAGTAAATTTAGGAAAGAACGCTTTGAGTCAGACTGTGCATTCCCAAAGAGATGCAAACTGTCTCCATATTCTCCTTAATCACCATTTACTGACCATTCCTCTGATTAAAAAAAAATTATGAACAATAAAAATATCCTCAAAACTCCATTTTCCTAAGGGGATTATTTGACTCCATTTAATTTTCCATTCTGGAGTCTGGGAGAGCTCAGTCCCTCTTCATGTAGCCTCCAGCTGACTGGATCAATTAGCTGGGAGATAACCATGAATAAAACAGTATGGCAAATTTGCAAGTGAGGTCTATGAGCACAAGAGGGCTAGGCATCTCAGTCCCAGATATAAAATGTCAGGATAAGCAGTAAAGCAGACTTGAGAGTTAAGTATCTCAGGCAGCAAAAACAGAAACTGGGGGAAGCCAGTTAAGAGTATATAACGTAAGCTTGTGAGGAATCCCTCCTCAGTGTACATGAGGGGAGACCTCACAAATGTCTCAGTTCCTGTAAGACAGCAAGTGATGGTGAGAAGGCCAGGACAGTCAACAAGGCCATTAAATGAAAACTAGTTATGAAGACAGGAGGGACAGGTAGAGATGTGGAAACTGTAGAGGATATCACACAGTTGCATGTATAGTTGGACAACGGTTCTGGTTGTGTTTGATGTAATGAGCTCCTGATGCTCAGAGATCAATGATTATTCCACTGAGACAAAGATAAATGATCTGGGAAAGCTAAGAGGGGGAGACAGGCATTGGTGGATGACGTCTTCATTGATAGTCCACTCATGAGGACAAGTGGAAAGGTACGGCAGAGGAAAATTATTTCCTTCAAAGGACTCATTCCTTCGAGGTGAATATTATGAACAATAAAAATGTCCCTCAAAATCCCAGTTTGAAATGAAACGTGAGGATTTTAAAATGTGAAAGCTTGACTTCAAAGTCTAAAACATTAACTTGACCGCAGTACTTTGATGTGAACTCAGCTGCCTCAAAAATAGCAATGGACTCTCAAGCTTCTTTCTCTTATCTTCATGTTTGTCAGACACGGAAACTGTCCAAGATGGAAAGGCAGCGCTTCAGTGAGGAGGTAGAGATGCTGAAGGGGCTCCAACACCCTAACATTGTCCGTTTCTATGACTCATGGAAGTCTTCTGTCAAAGGACAGGTCTGCATTGTGCTGGTCACAGAACTCATGACCTCAGGCACCCTCAAAACGTGAGCACAGAATGGACTGGATGGGAATGGGTGGCGGGGATGAGAAGCAGCCCCAGAGGGGCTATGTTGCTTTTTTCAGGGAAGGGCATTTTTTAGCCCATTCTCCTATCTTCAAGCCACAAAGAGGGTCATTTCTGCAGCAAAGTATTAATAACACTGCTCCTTCTCTGGAAAATATTTTCAAAGATTGCCTGATTCTTTCATTTTTATTCTGAAGAAACAGAAATGTCTGAGCTAATGTCATCATGCTTCCTGTATGTTTCCATTAACTGCTAAGTAACAAATCTTTTCCCCAAATGCTGGTTGCCTGTAAAGCTGGTGTTTACAATAAGTCAGTGTGGGGATGTGATCCAAATGAGGAGCACAGTGCTGTATTGGAGGACAATGCAAGGAAGTTTTTCTTTCAAAGATAATTGACCACAGTCCCTTTAGACTTCAGATGCTGGAAATTCATACAGTTTCCAGTATCCAGTTCTGGAAGTATACCCTTAACCAACAAAGATTAGTGTACTCTGTCTGAGATAGTTGTCCACTTCCACTGAGAGCCCAGCTTTGGGAGGGATGCACATGGAGGAAGGGGACAGCCACCTAGCCAGCCAGATCAGCCAAATCAACTCTGGCAATCAGTGGGGTGATAGATGTTGCATCCATTGCCCTCACATTAATTCTCATTGAGTTGGTTTTTTTAGGGTCCTTTCATGAACTTCATGGTTTTTATACTGCTTTATTTTTATTCTTTGGCAGAACTTCAGAAAACTCAAAACATCAGAACACTCCATTTTATTCTCCTTTCCTTTATTTTTCTAGTAATCTCTTCTAACCATTAGCCATATGGTTATATCACTGAGCAGACTAGTCATCTTGGGATTTTTTGGGGAACACTGTTTTTGGAGTTCTTGCCTCAACAATACCTTTGTCATTTTGAAAATATTTGGTTCCCCCCAAACCTGTCATGGCCCACAATCAGTGGTGATGATGAGATGGCCCTGAATCATATCACTCTTTGTCTTTTTGTAGGTATTTGAAGCGATTCAAGGAGATGAAGATGAAGGTTCTTCAGAGATGGAGTAGACAGATCCTTCGAGGACTCCATTTTCTACATACACGATCCCCTCCAATCATCCATCGGGACCTGAAGTGTGATAATGTCTTTATCACAGGTCCTACAGGCTCAGTCAAAATTGGGGATCTTGGTTTGGCCACACTCAAGCGTGCATCATTTGCAAAGAGTGTCATAGGTATTTGATGGGTAAAGAGTGGGTAGCAGAATATGTCGATTTGTCATTATATATCTGTTCACCTTAAAAACCATGTTCAGTAACAGTAATTATTTGGATCACATCTCTAAGATATTTGGATCTGTGTTCCTTCCAAAATTTGGAAATAGCATGACAAGCAGCAATCATTTGTACAGATGGTAGCATTAAAAGAGAGATCTTTGCTCAAATTGAGAACTTCTTAAGATCCTATGGAATCTTTTGAGCAGAATCTTATGGGGCAGAATTGGTACTTTAAGTATCTCTTGATCTTCAGAAGCATGCTTGGATAATGCATTACTGTTCCCATTGGGTTAAAGGGAAAATCTATAGCCTTTATATATCTCAGGCTTAAATGTGGAATGGGTTTTTCCCAGGGCTGGTTTAAAGACTGTGTAGATCCCAGGCACTCTTGTCTGAGACATTAATTGGGGGGTGGTGGGGGGGGGGGAGAGGATGGAAACAGGGTTGAAAGATTTTGGGAGCTTCAGAATTCCTGGACATTGCTCAGGTTTCACCTAATGGTTTGAGTCTCAGATAAATCCTTTCCTTCCTTTTCCAGGAACCCCTGAATTTATGGCTCCAGAGATGTATGAAGAAAAATATGATGAAGCAGTGGATGTTTATGCCTTTGGCATGTGCATGCTGGAGATGGCAACTTCAGAATACCCCTATTCAGAATGCCAGAATGCAGCTCAGATTTATCGTAAAGTTACCTCGGTAAGAGTACAATCTCTAGCTTCTCTGAAGAAGCTTGGGGTGATTTCTCTGCATTCTGGACTCTATCTCTTGCAATGTCCTTTTGCATTGGAAAGGAGGAAAGGAACTTTCCCATGATTAGTTTCCAAGGAATCTGAGTTTTTAGTGCAATTTTGGATTTAGAACAAAATTATGCTAATTAGGACCAGTGAAGAGCAGCCATGGCAAGAAGATTGGGTTGAACTTCAGAGGAGTGCAACTCTGTACTTCTGGTTTCTGGCCATATGCTTTTCTTGTAGCATCATAAAACTTAAAAAGTGTAATTTAACATGGTACAGAACAATAATTTTCATGTTCAAAATCCATTTGGCAAGCTTCCAATGTGAGAAGGGTTGGGCTTTTTTCATTCCAACCCTTTACTCCATTTTAATTTGAGATTTAAATTGGTAAAAAGAGAGATGCTAAATGGGAATCCAGCCAACTTAGAAACAATTTGATTTTAGCTGGAAGACTTGTTCCACTGGCCAGATTAGGGGTTAATTTATTCTATTTTATTGTACCCCACTTTGAGATTATTTTTAATGGAGAATGGATTGAAAACTGAAATAGATTCCTGGCATCCAGATCAGTTTAGGGTGTTAGTCCAGGTAAATAGAAGGTTTTACAGAAAAGGCTAAGCAATCACCTTTTTTTCTCCATAGCAGGAGAGACAAGCAAGATTAGTTGTCATAAGAGGAAAGGAGCTTGAATGCTTATATTGTTCTCCCTTCTACCCACCTTTTGGTCCTCTCTGTTATTTCTCATAACAGGGTATGAAACCAAACAGTTTTTACAAGGTGAAGGTGCCTGAACTAAAAGAGATCATTGAGGGTTGCATTCGGATGAACAAAAATGAAAGGTAGGGAACAGCACAGCTGCTTACATGGGTATGCTCAATCAATGAATATAGGTGATGTTTATGGGTTTGTGCACACATGTGTAATGCATGTGCCTGTGTGTGTGTAAGTACATATAGGTGGCCCTTTTTAAAAATTCCACAATATCTGGTAAACACAAAAGAATTGTCTGAGTAGGTATGGGTAGGAACTATGGGTAGAGCTAGGTAAGGAATGAGAAGAAAGGAATTCAGTACCTATTTCTACCTCTTTGAATTGTTCTGTTTGTAGAAATCATTAGAATCTCACCAGAACTGATAGCCAAATTGGGAATCACATTGGTTTTTAATTCTTCAAGGCAGACAACTCAGTGCAGAGATTCAAAATAGCATGCAGTTCACATGCAATCTGAGACATGCCTATTGTTGTTAGGGTGGACATGAAATCCTGCATTACCAATTAAGTTAATCTCAGCCTGACTCTCAAATTCTATTGGAGTTCAAGACCCTCAGACTCTCAGCGCTACTTCAGAAATTACCTCCACTAGCTGAATTATGGAGATAGTTAGATAGTAGGATGGGTTGGTTCATCAGCAAAACCCAAATCCTGCCTTTTGAGCCCAAAATAACAAGTTCAGACATTCGCAACTGACTAAATATTGAGGAGGATAGATATCTAACAAGAAAAGGGGTTCTATGGGTCACAGCTGCCACCCCTTTCCATCCCTCAAGTTAAAACTGATGTTGAACTTTATGCTCTGAACTCTATACTCTGCTGCTTTATACTCTGCTGTTTTCCTATGCTGCTTATATCTGGAGGATTTTAGGAGGCAAATTTGTATAGATAATGGGCATGGAACAGATTGGTGCTCATGTACTTATGAAGATCCTGGCCTGGATACCTCTCTAGTCACATTGATAAAAACAACCTGTGAATTCAAGTATACTTTCTCTTACCTCTCTCATTTTTCATTTTGCAGAGTAGTTTAAATTCAACTTGCCTCCCTATCTTCCCTGCAGATATACCATCCAGGATCTTCTGGACCACTCCTTTTTCCATGAGGATACAGGGGTCCATGTTGAACTGGCTGAAGAGGATGATGGGGTTAAGACCAATCTGAAGCTTTGGCTACGGATGGATGACACCAAAAAGCTGCATGGGAAGTACAAGGACAACAATGCCCTGGAGTTTCACTTTGAGCTGTATAAGGATGTGGCTGAGGAAGTTGCCCAGGAAATGGTACATCTTACTGTGATTCACTGGGAAGTGCAATCAGCAAGAGAGATCATCCTAACTATAGGCATTTCTGAATAAGAGAGAAAAGGAAAGCATTAGGTGAATTGTCTCATTGAGAGGTGCCCAGGTCTGCATAAAAGTGACAGAGAGCAATCCTTAATCATCCCCAGCATGTAGCAGCAGCTTAAACCCAAAGCGTTTTTTCTGGTATTTCTCCAGATCTTTCCAGATTAAGATGTGTTACTGAGTAAGGGATTTAGAGTAGAGCCACCTGGGTCTTTTATTTTTCTAACTGCATTTTGGATCAGCGTGACCTGAGAATGGCATATCTTCTTAGGGAAAAGGAAGTTGCTTGCCATTAACTCTTATGATGCTAGCCTCTTATGCTAGCATATGAATAAGGCTCTGGAATCATTATTTATTAACATCTGTATTTTAAAATCATCATAGTTTCACATGATCATTTCTTTCACATTTCATTCTGTGTCATGAGAACCATCACAGTTGAGATCTAGTCTATATCTGTTCCCTTACCATGGCACATTGGATGAGAATTTTCCTGCATGTGTCCATGAAGGCCTAACTTGCTGCCTGCAGAGGTTGGTGTGTGCAAATATATCCAACCGCAAACCTACCCCACACTCACATCCCAAATCTACAATTCAATTACACACACACCATAGAGCCCACTCCCAGCACAATACTGCAGATGGCAGATAAGATGTATAGCCATGTCTGATTGTCCTTGTTTTCTTTTTTTTTTGCTCTGCCTCTCCTTCCTACCCCATCTCACTGATCCATCATGCAGGTGGTCCTAGGCTTTGTGTGCGAGGCAGACTACAAGCCGGTGGCCAAAGCAGTGCGTGAGCGAGTTCTTGCTATCAAGCGCCAGCGTGAGAAGGCCAAACGAGCTCAGGAACAGCAGAAGCGGCAGGAGCAATCTCTAGCAATGACTCCTGATATCCTGCATCTGCTGGACCTGGACTCCCCCTCACCTCTCAGTCCTGTCCAGCTCTCAGCACCCACCACACCAGGGTCTGGTGATTCTGCCCTCGGATCAACCTTTCCTCCAGAGCCAGAAGAGCCAGAAGTCGACCAGCACCAGCCTTTCCAGTATCATCCTAATTATTCCTCTACCACATGTAAGCACACCCAACAGTCTTGGCATCTCTGTCTTCAACCAATGACTATATAGCCAGTGCCCTCCAGTGTATTGGGCCACAGTTTCCATAATTCCCAGGCAGAAAGGGATTTGAGATTTGGGTCAGCTGTGCAATCCAGCATCCTGAGAACCTCAGCTTGCTACTTTTAAACATTGCTCTCTGTTTTTGTGGAGAGTTTTTGCTCTCTGTTTGTTCTTGAGGGGTCTGACATTTGCAAAGAAGCTGGGCGAAATTAGCAGTCGGCTGGAAAGCTTATGAGGCCACCAAGTTAGATGCAGTCGAGTCTGATTTCATATCTCTACTCCCCCCCCCCACAGCTGACTGTGAGACTGACGGATACTTGAGTTCCTCTGGATTTGTGGACTTGCCTGACAAGCTACGGAATCACCCTAGCCCAATAACTGTTCCTGAGCATTCCTTTGCTTCGGTGAGTGTGAATGCTGTCCCTGGCATGCACAGCTGCATTGGATGAGGCTCACGCACATGGGGAGGACATGGGGATAAGGAGAACTGGTGTTGCAACTTCCCTTCAGTTGTTCTTTATACCCACAGAGCATTGCTGTGAGCCTGGACCCTGCCTCCATCAGTGACATCTCTTCCCCTGTCGACAGGTAGGGGAGTTGCAGGTTAACTGCTGTGGGATGTGACTCAAGATTTAGAGTGAACAAAATCTTATCACATGCTTTCTCTTCAAATTCTAAAATACCCTGTGGAGGGATAAATAAAGCTGAATCCCCTAGGATAAAGGTAACCTCTACGGGGATTACTCAGGAAGATGTGCTTTTTAGACGTGTGTTATATATTGGACTGTCCCCCTCTAGTACTTTTCTTCACAAGAGCCCTACCTCACACTGCCATCTGTTCATTTCCAAATAACTTCCAGTGCACCATGATTCGGCCATTTTGTCTTTGGCATCTGGGGATCCCAATTATGTATTGGGCTGCATGGAGCACCTTCTGATAACCATTACTGAGCCCAAGCTAACCAACAACAGAAGTCTGATGTAGCCAATCTGGGCTTGCTCTCTCTGTTTGAAACGTACCGCTTGTTGATTTTACTTCCCCGATCCAAACTAACTTCCAGTGCTCTGAAACAAAAAGAGAAGCAAAAAAGGCCTTCAGTTCACCATGGTGCTATTTTGGCAAGCACATCAATCTAAATCCTGAAAACACAACAAACAGCAAAGCTATTCTCAAGGGCTTTTCCCAAACCGGACAGAGTGAAAGAGAGAGAGAGGACAGGCTGTCTCTCCTAGGAGAAAGAAAATGCTCACGTACGCAGGATGACTTCACTGGAACATGGATTTCATTTGTAGCAAAAGCAGAAGGGGAGGGAAACAAAGATTTGTCAAGGGTAGCAAGGAATGGCAGATATAGATAGGGTATGTACAGCGGAAGAGGTGCGGTGAAATTACCATTGGTAGGATTGTATTTGAATCTTGTGGGGATATCTCAAACTTCTTTTTCCTCTCTGTGCGTACTGTCAGCTTGGAAAGGGTGGAACGGACAAGAAAGTACATATTCTCTTTGAGCAGAAGTTAAGGCCATTTCTTGAAAGCCTCAACTTTCCCTAAAACAAGAAATTTAGAAAGGGCAGGAAGTGAGATGAGTTTTATGATGCATCCAGACTGATCACATTTGTTAAACTTTTGCTTCCTCTTCCTCATCTGGAAATAGTTACACATCTGATGTGGCATCTGGCTTGAGTGATGGCTATGAGGGTCTCTCTGCAAGTGAAGGCAGACCGAAGCCCCTGGCCAAGCGGGCCCCTGGGAGACTGCTGCGCCGTCGTGCTCGATCTCGTCTGCGCATCACTAATGTGAGTGCTATCACTTGCAACAGCCTTATGTTTTAATAAAAATATTAATTAGCAGGCAATGAAAGAAAAAAGGATTAATGTACATATAGCTGTAGTAAGCGTGTGAGATAATATTAAAAGTGAAAAAAGGAGGAAGGAGGCTTGGAAAATTATCATCATAAACAAAACACCTCCAAAAAGGTTGACCTAAAAGTTGCCTTTCTTACCCCTTTGCCAGAAAAAAGAACAAAATGACAAATTCAAATGTTGACAGACAATACATAGCAACAATTCTGCAAATCAGCTGTAGATTTATTCTTCCAGTGTTGTTGATCCCTCTTGGCTTTCCCATAGGCCCAAAAAGTCCAATGTTTTGTCATTTATGGGACACTCTATAGCTGTTAAAATCAACTTAGTAAAGAAGATAGTTCTATAACTAGACCATATTTGTCAGGTTTAAAAGAGACTGTAATGTTACCATTATTGAAACTGGGGAGTAGAATTCTATTTTAAAAGGCTTCCGAATATAATTGCACTAAGATATAAAAGATATAAAAAATATATGCATATATATTACACACACACCACACATACACATACAAACCTACATACAGCACAGAGAGACATGCGTACATACCCCAATCATCTGGAAAACTGTCAGAGCCAGGAGATTTCCCTAGCTTCCTAAATGTAATTATAGTTATGATGTCTTGAAGCGAGAGAGGTTCATAATCACGTCCTGGTATAGCTGTAGCAGTCTTGCCCGCTAGAGCAAAGAATTTCTCATCATCTGTTCATGGAAAAAATTATTTATTTATTTATTTAGTGCTTTGAGTCATGTTGACTCCTGGTGACTGCCTGGACTGCAGTTTCCTTGGCAAGATTTCAGAAGTGGTTTGCCATTGCCTGCTTCCAAGGGCTGAGAGAGAGTGACTGGCTCAAGGTCACCCAGCTGGCTTCGTGCCTAAGGCAGGAATCGAACTCACAGTCTTCTGGTTTCTAGCCTGGTGCCTTAACCACTACACAAACTGGCCCTCTATGAGAAATTGGGACTATAAAATTTGGAATAAAATTTAAATATGTCTGTCAGATCTAGAAACAGTATACATTTTCTAAAAGAAATCGTGAAGGGAGAATACAGTATTAAGTTGCTTAATTTGTTCCTGGGCTTTTCCCACCACTACACTGAACTGCTGCCCGCCCATTCTAGAGCTGTGACATTTGTTGTTCCCACTGCTGATCCCTACAGTGTCTCTGTTGCATCTGTTTCCCTCCGAAGCAATGAGTGATGAAGTCTCACAGATTTTATACATCTTGAGGCTTCTCTTGGATGGTATCAGAATAACACCAATACGAGTAAGGATGACTTAAGGCAATCTCACTGAGATTGATCATTGAGATGATAAAAAGGCAAAATAATGGGGGCACGGTAGGAAAAAAGGGATTGCCACAGTTAGGTTCAAATGGGAAAGATCCTGAGTCTAAAAAACAGTGATTTAATAGTCATATCTTCCTTTTCCTAGTATCATCATCAAGTACAATGTAATAAGAATTAGCTTGCAGAAATGAATAGATAGACAATTATATTCCATTCCTTGTACTATATACTTATATACCGACTTTGGTTGACATTTGTGAGGATTTCTTGGGTAAATGACTACATCTCTTTCAAGTATGAGAGAAAATGATGTTTAAAATTGGGCAGCAAGGAAGTTAAATGGTGATTAAGGTTAGATACAGAGCTACTCTTAATATTCCATCAAATAGGAGAATGTGGAAAATTTGAGGATATTAAGAACAATTCCATCTAATATTTTTAGGGGGTAACTCTCATATATTTTCTCTTATTCTTCCCTTCCATTTCTCAACTTTTTATATAATTGAGAACTATTTGTTTAATAACATACTGGAGAATCTGCATTTAAGGCCAAACTATTTTAGTCTTGCAGACTGATTTTTAAAAAATAAAAACCAACCATTTGGGGAAGTGAGTGGAATTGAAGTGCAGTATGTCAGTAGAGGAAGTACTTAATCCATTATTTTCCCCACTTTTCCTGCTGTCCTGGTTAGAATCTCCCTCCCTCTTCCACCATATACATAGACAGACTATTTTGGAATGCAAAGAACAGAAATCAGCAAATAACAAAGAAAAATCAGCAAGTTTTCTGCAATTATTTTATTGAAACTGAAAATCTAAATGCCTCTTTTTAGAACTGCTACTATTATAAGTTTGATCACCTAGTAAATCACCTTTTCTAAATTCTAATGCCCTCCAAATATTCTGTATTATAACTTCAATTAGGTAAATAACCCTGAATTTCCCCATTTATTAATCCAGCAAATTAGCCTGAGGGGTCAGTAGAGACTATTATAAAACTACTCATTTTTGACTGACATTCAGATTCTTCAGAAGCTTGTTTATATTAATCTTGGGGGGGGGGTGTTACTTTTTATAAGTAGAATATATAAACAATGTACTTAGAGGAAGTTAGCATTTTTATGTGATGGCATTTCCAAACTTTAGAAATGGTATGCTTTTATGTATGTTTAAAACATTTGCCAATCGTGATAAATACTGTAACTGATTGTTCAGAATACCAGTGTCTTTTCTTGGTCTTTTTTGTTTATAAGAAGCAAAATTGTATAAATTGGATGGCATGCATCAGGCTTCTCTCAATCTAGTTTGTTGTAAAGTTCTAGAATATACTAACATTAAGGGGGGGAAAAAACCTTTCTACATGATTGGCACCCTGCCAGGAATAACTCATCCCCAAATCACCCATGTTGTAGCAAGTATTGGAAGGGAAAGCCCCAAGATAACAGAGTCATGGGGGGAAAGCATAAACCCCTTTCTGTCTTGCAAAGTTTGAAGCCCATCAAGAAGGCTGAATTCCTTACCCGGCCACACTGATTAGCGTTTGTGTGCGTGTGTGCACATATGTGTGCATTGACTGAAATCCTAATGCTAATCCCCCAATTTCTGTAGATGCCAAACCAGAATGATCAAGTGGTTGAGTGTCAACTACAAACATATAATAACAAGATGGTCACCTTTAAGTTTGACCTGGATGGAGACAGTCCTGAGGAAATCGCAGCTGTCATGGTATGGATGTTGATTTTCTTTTATCCACATTATCTATACCAGTAGGAACTGGGGGCAGGATTTGACCTCCTTAATCCTGGTTTTGACTGTCCTTCTGGTTTCTCCAGGTTGCCAAGGAATTCATCCTGAAATCTGAACAGGAAGGATTCATCCGCCGAATTCATGATATTATCCAGCGTGTAGAAACACTCCTTCAGAAGGATAAATTGAACAAAGACCAGGGGGCTCTGGGCAAGCCTGGTGTGCAATGTATGTCTCCTACTTCAGCTACTAATGGTCTCTCGGTGAGTTTCAGATTTTTGCTGGTTGGAGAATTTAGATAGAAACATTTTGTTTAGCACCCAGAAATGCTTCACTTATTTTTGTTATTTTGTAAATGGGCAGCAGGTTGATGCTCTTCACCTCCTCATCTTCTTGGTCAGCCGAGCACAGTAACAGATCTTCAGAGGTCAGCCATCTTTCCTTTGGCTTTTCCTTCGTTCATAATGTCTTCTATGTCCTAAAATGCTGAGGCCACTTTCATTAAGGCACTTTGCTACAGAGAAGAGGGCCAGAGTTCACGTTTGTCTTTTCCCATTAATCCCAAATACATAATGGCTAGTTGTGCTCCTTCTGTAAAAAGGACAGAGCATTCTTCACATAGTCAGAGAGGCCTCTCTTTGTTACCTGTCAAATGATAATATTTTTCTACCTTTTTCCTGTTCTCTTTTAGGCTGAGCTGCCACTGCAAGACCTCTCGTGTTCCATCTCCTCATCCTCATCTCTTAGTGGTACGTAATCCAACATCTGCTCACCCCAGATTACTCTTCACACACTATCTGAACAGCTATCTATTTTACTCTGATATCTCATATATTGAAACTAAACAAGCAATAGAAGAGGATATAGGACCCAAGTGCTTCTCTGAGCATTTAACTCAGAATAAAATTACTCCTACTAGTTTTTGCTATTGCAATATTTGTAAGGATGGAAGGATAATTTTTTCCAAAATTTAACTGTCAGCTATTTATGTATTCAGAGAATTGCGGTTCCTCCTAGGATTCTATTACTTTGAACAATGATATGCAGAAGACAGATTACTGGGGGATTAACAAAAGCAGTGATGTTTTGTTCCTATTTACTATCATAAATGCAAGTAAAACATGCCATCACATTGACCTTCACTCCTGGTAACTTCATGAACAAGTCCCTGTAATTTTCTTGGCATTCACATGGAAATGATCTGTCAGTGTTTTTTCTAAGATTTTTCTGTTGTTGTTTTTCACTTTCCAATCTACCCTAGAATCTTGGGATTCTCTAGTGCTCTCCCATCCAAGTATTAACCAAGTCTGACCCAGCTTAGCTTTTTTGGATCAGCCAGGTTTGGCTGGGTACTCTTACCTGCTGTGCCTTTTTAATCAGAGTAACAGCAAAATGATGCTGTCAACTGTCCCTTGGTGAAACAAAGAATACTTGGAATAAGTGACAGTATTTTTTTTTATGCGAAAGCACTATAAATTCCATTCAGTGCGGATACTCAAAATAAACGTGTGAACTTGGAATTATTTAATTCTAAGTGTGTATCTTTTGCATTGGGCTGCAGTTGCCAACTCTCATGGTTTTAATAAAAACCAAAATGGAGTTTATCTGCTTTCTGCTGCTTTAGAATACAAATGTGTGTCGAAAGATGAGAAAAGAGTGTATCAGTATTGAATGATTTACCTTATCAAAAATGAATATGTTAGCAAACGTGAAGGTTAGAAATGATGGAGGACTCACAGCAAATTCATTAAAGGACACTAATCTGCAGTAAAGGATCCTAAATATGTATCCTAAGCATTCAACTTTTTACAGATTTTGGTTGCCCTAGCCCAGGACAGTCTGTGTCATCACCTGTCCAAACTTCAGTGGTGGATGCAGTTTCTGAGAATGAGCCCTTTAGACCCATCGTTCCCCCATCAACTACCCAAAACTTTGGGCAACCGGTGCTTTCAACTACATCCACAGGTAAAACTGATCTGTTGTAGTTCCTTCCAGTCGTAAAATACTACCTGACCAGACTGCAACCTGGGAAGCTAACCAGACTTGCTATCTTGAGGGATCTTTACCTAGTGACTTAAAATGCTGGGCATAGGCTAGGTATCTAAGATGATGATGATGATGATGATGATGATGATGATGATGATGACAACGACAACTATTTCCTGCCTTTATTTTGTACCACTCAAGGTGGTGTACATAAAGTTATTGCTTCCTACTTTCCCCACAACAGTCTTGTGTTGTGGATTGGGCTGAGAAAAAATGACTGGCCCAAAGTAGCGCAGGTGGTAATGAAATAAGATAATACAATATAAAGGGATAATCTGGAGGACTCTGATATTCTACATGATCCAGGCTTTTTATAAAAAACAAAAACAAATAAACCTTTGTTTAGCTTTCCTGAATTTGGAAAAATTTGGAAGTGAAATGTTTATTTATTTATAGTCTGGGCAAGGGTGTGGTTTTTTGTAATCCCAGGGGGGTGGGAATCTGAGTGAATTATATAACACGATACATTCTCTCTCCCACTCTATACTATTCTATTCTTCAGTCCCCTTATTTCTTTCTAAAATATTTTAAACCCTTTGAAGTAATAGGTGTTATCCAGAATCAATCAATATATAAGCAGTAGTGCCAAATACATCACACATTTTAGTTTCTGGGTGCAAAATACGAACATTGATGGAAAAGCAAGGCAAATGATCCACGTAATATTAATCTGAAAATAAAGCTGATCAGAGATACGAAAGAACAGAGTGTACTGGGCTCATCTGCCCTGCAAACATGGGGAAGGCTTTTTGCAATGTGACATAACAAGTGGAATGCAGCTGATTTCCCTTCCTTTGCTTCTGGCTCCAACTGACCTGCCAATTTGCATTTCTCCTTACAGGTGTCCCCAGTATGCCTGGACAGACCTGGCCAACCTACCATATGTATCCAGGGACTCCTACAGCTCCCTCTTACCTTGTCCCCATCCCTCAACCAGTTTCTTCACCCAATTCTGTTCTCCCCACATTACCCCTTACCTCATCCACTGCCCCATCCAGTGGCACTGCTGTGCATGCACCGCCTGTCCCCATGTGGCCCCCCTCTACTTCCCCATTGTTCTCCCTCGCCAATGTCTTCTCTCTGGCTGTGATGAGCATGGCCCAGTCGCTTCTTCCAGCAGTATCAGTAGGGACTGCCCAGACGGGGCCTCTCTATACCTCACCAGTCCTACAACCACCAATACTCTGCCCACCGAGCTCAACTGCTTCACGCTTTATCTACCCTGAGCTGGTGCCTCCCCACAAACCAGCCCACTTAGCCAATGGGATGTTGGGGCCAATGGTGTCTCCAGGCTATAAGCCATCCCCGGTCACCTCAGTTGCTGGGAATCCTGAGAACAGTCCAGTAAGTTGGAACATCTTTTGAATCAATTGTCTTGTGTATTTATGTCTTTAGCATCCTCATGTCTCAGTTTTAAGGTATTGTTGAAATGTGTTACTTGATTATGATTTGTGAACATAAATGAGGGGTTGTTACATAGAATTTTATTCATCTTAGGGAATAGTGAATGCTTCTATTTTTCTAGTCATCAAAAACTAGCAATCTAGCAATGGGCACTGGGATTTTCTATCATAATAGAGGGATATTCCTTGGAAGCTTCACCCCAGCTCCATAGGAGCCTCACTTAAGTCCTGACTGAGAATTCCTGATTGTAGCAGCTTTCCTATATTAAGGTCAGATGTACCTTATTTTAGTGCTACCTGAAGCCCAGGTTAATCCTGAGATCTAATGAATTTTCCATGGATCACACAGATACCTTCTCCTGAAGAAACAAACCAGAGCTCTATTGCATAGTGAATGGACCAAAAATGGGAAGTTCTCTACTGATTTATCTCCTTAACAGGTAGCTCCTGTCTCTTCCTGGTCTGGATCACAATTAACCAAATCAGATCTGCCTACCTCCAGTGGTTCCTCTGCCCAACACTCAACCATCAGTGAAGGTAAGGAGTGTTTCAGAAGGATTAGAGCAGGAAATCTGGGGCCCTCTAAAAGTTGCTATTGCCCAAACTCATGAGTCAGCAGCAGCATCCATGGGGGATGGCTCAAAATCAGTATGATGCCAGATGCAGTGTTGTAATGCAAGCCCTGTCTCTTTTGTACATGCACTGATGTTGCATACATGTTCAAAAGGGGCAGGCCTTGCATCCCAGTGCTACATCTACCATCTTGCAAATTTTGACACATACACACAGCCCTCTGCAAATGCTGCTGTGAGTTAGGCTTAAATTGTCCTTAGCTGTATTGATATAAAACAGTGTTTCCTCCTTAAGACAGTAGCATCCAGCAACAGTTGCAAAGTGTGTAAAATCTGATGCACTTCACACACTTGACTGCACCCATTTTGTTGATGCGGTCAAGTGATTTGTATTGGGTAATCTGACTGGTAATTATTGGCCATTGCAGGCTGCATGATTCTCCCTTCCAGTCCCTGGGCAGCTTTCTCTGGTGCTGTTCTCTTCCAGCATCATGTGGCTCAGCTGCTAGCCCTCGTTGTTGCTGCAGGTGGCGCAGGGCTGCTGCTATGCTCAGCAGACTTGTGGAATGGCAGAAGAGTTCTAGACCCAGATGTTCCTGCTTTACCCCTCTCTCAGGCATGGTAAAGAGAGGGAGGGAGAAGGAGACCTAAGCTAGCCCTTTTGCTTTGTGTTTGATTTCATCTGACAACTAAACTGAACTCCAGATGTATCCCTCTCTCTGAAACCTTGCCTGTCTTGCTTTACAGGGAAAGTCTATTGCTCCTATGGAAGCCTCTATATAAGCATGCTTATATACATGCTTATGCACTGGTGGCCCTGCACCAGCTTTCAAAATGAGCCACAGCCAGGGCACCAACTGTGCCCTGTACCAGCTGTATTTCCTTTGCTTGCCTCCTTATCACTCCTTTGGGGCCACAGACTGCATGGAACTATGGGGCCTATGACCATTACAAAGTCTCACCATGGGGTAACTTGTTCCTTGGGATGCCTCATACAAGGAGCTATATGCCGTGCCTCCCCACATCCCACATAGGAGAAGAGCCTACACAGGCTGCCAGTGACCTTAAGTAGCACTGCTTGGGCTTCAGGACATCCTGTGAGCACTGGCTGGTAGCGGCGACACCTGGCAGGGAATTCTGGGAGTTGAAGTCCATATCTCTTAAAGTTGCCAAGTTTGAAAAATACTGCTCTATAGGAAGACATGCCTACAGCCCATCCTCGTACTTTGTTTTTCTTTGCCAGGAGAGCCCAAGCCACAAATCCTGGGCCGTTTCCAGGTGACACCCACACAGAATATTCCATCAGAATCTCCCCCCAAAAGCAATGGGCCTGACATCTCGAGCACTTCCGAATCCGACAGTGGATCTCCTGGTGAAACACCCGTGCAGGAAGTCGAGGAGGGCACCACCACTGTGGCAGAAGGAGAAGGGGAAGGGGAGCCCATACACAGCAACATTGTCTGGACGAATTATATGCACAGCCCTTCCTACCCAAGCAGTGATGATTCAGATAGCACAGAAGATGATGATGTCTGGATTGAACTGCAAGCCTTACGCCAGAAGTGAGTAGTTTTGGGCACAGGCAACAAATAAAACTTTTCCCCACTCCATTCATTAACATCCCCTTTCATTCTGCCTTCCTCTTAGGCATCTCTCTGAAGTAGAAAAGCTCCAGGCACAGCAGAAACGAGAAATAGAGGAGCTTTATGCCCGCCTTGGCAAGGTGCCACCTGCTGGAATTGTGTCACCTGCTGCCATGCTCTCCAGCCGCCAACGCCGCCTCTCTAAGGGCACCTTCAATCCCCTGAGGCGCAGCAGCCTGCAGCGCCCAGACTCGGCACAGCCTCAAGGTAAGCCTTGTCTTGCCCCTGCACTAAGTCCATGCAAGCAGCGCTTAGCCCCTGCTGCAGGCTTAGATGACTAACCTAGCTATAAGGACAGATTTTAGTAAACCTAGTTACACGAGAAAGTGTCTTGCCTTGTGGCACTTCAGATAAGGCCCTTGCGTGGATAAAGGAATATAGAACGTATACAATGTGCCCCACCCTGACTCTGTGTCAACCAGCTCAGGGTTTTGTGGGAAACTATTCAGTGCTGCTGGTATTGTAAACAATGTTCAGGTATTTCCTGGGTTTCTCTGAGCTGAGAATCTGCCATATCTTAAATAAATGCCTGTCTGTGGAAAATCGTTTCAATGAAATAACAAGGCTGCAGGCCTGATCTTAATGTAAACCCTTTAAGAGTGACTGAACGCCACTTTTTAGGGACGAAGCCTCTGTAGCCTCATTCATGAGAGTACAGATTGCACAGCCATTCATTCACTTATATGTTTTCAGATGCATAAAATCCCTGAGAGGGGAGGAGGCTTTAAACCACCCTCACCCACCCCCATTGCCACAGTTAGCATAACTCTTTCCCTGCTTCTAATACCAGAAGACACCAGCAATCTTAACACTTTGGTAGGGTGGATGGGTGGGAGAGGAGAATTTTTTAACCCCCCCACCCCATCCCAGTGCAAAGAAAATGCATTGTGTAATTGCGTGTGACATTGAACAGTGGTGTCAGTTTCCCATCTATGCTGTACTTGTATATTGATTTTCGTTACAGCTGTCCCTGCACTAATGTGATTGTTTCCCTTGCAGGGATCATGCGGAGAAATTCTGTGAGTGGCAGCAGCCTCACCTCTCAAGAGCAGCGGCAAAGTAAAGGCGTGAAGTTTGCCAGTGATGTTGGATGCCTGGTAAGCAATGGGCTAGGCTAGTGGCTGGCTGGGGAATTCTGGGAGTTGAAGTCCACACATCTTAAAGTTGCCCAGTTTGAGAAACTCTGGTCTAGAATGTTTGCTCTGGACCAGAGGCTAACTAGCCCGTGATGGGCAGGCAAGGCCAGTGCAACCCATCTTGCCTTTTTTCTTAGTTTTTTTTTTTATCCCGCCTTTATTATTTTTATAAATAACTCAAGGCGGCAAATACACCTAATACTCCTTCCTCCTCCTGTTTTCCCCACAACAACCCTGTGAAGTGAGTTGGGCTGAGAGAGAGGGACTGGCCCAAAGTTACCCAACTGGCTTTTATGCTTCTTGGTTGAAAAAGTTAGATCTGCCCCAGTGTCTGGTCTCCACAGCTCCAGCTGTTTTCATCCACATGGTGATATGGCCTTGGGCCACAAGCCTTGTCCCTTTGGGGCATGCGGGTGATGTCATGGTGTGTGTGCAGACGGGGCAGAGCTTGCAGCAAAGCCGCACAACCTTGTTTTCTTTAGGCTGGCCGGTTTTACCCCCCACCCCCACCCCACCCCGCTGCAAAATCCACTGCCCCAGTGGGTGGTAAGAATATTGCTTTATCATTCTTCCCAAATGTGATTACTCCAGATATGAATTATACAAATCAGAAATATTTCTTAAGCTCACTAATATGCTACAAATCACTTCCATGCATTACTGAAAAGGGCCAGGTGGAATATTTGATTAACATTTGACAAATAATGCCTGGACAAACACTCTTCATTTAGAAGGGAGTAACCTGTTGCACCTCTCTAGTAAATCTAAACCACACCCAACAATAAATTTAAGGGCTGGTAAAACTGTCCCATCAGTAATATACTACTGCTCGTATAGACTTACTAATAGCCACTGTAGGACAGTTTATAACTCAATTACATGCAATGACATGCTTCCAAGGAGAGCAGGGGGAATGGTACAGGAGGGTATATAAAAGAGCCAATAAAAAAATACTGGAAAAAAATTCTAGTTGCTCCAGGAAAATAAGTTAAAAAAAACCTTTTAAAGGAAGCAGGAAACAACACAGCTGGAAAGCAGTGTTCATATCAAAAGCCCAGCATGGCAAAAATCTGATCTCACCAATGAACAGGTGTATTTGTGGCCTTGAGTTATATATAAAAAAGATGGGATAAAATATTATTATTATTATTATTATTATTATTATTATTATATAGATCAGTAACCCATGGCACTCAAACAACAGTCCTTGAATACAGCATTTGTTTTCAAATAAATAAATTTGAATAAATTATTCAATTACATGCAGTGAAATAAATTTTCAAACACAGCTGTAAGTATACATCTGTATTACTTTGCTATGACAATCAAAACATGATGACCAAGTCTGTGTTTAATGCCTCAATCCAGAAATTAGAATATGTTCATTAATAACATTTGCAAATCTTTTCTCCAAATTCCTGGATATGCTTAGCTATCGCCCTTCTAAGAATAGGAGCTGAAATTCTCTAGTATCAAATTCTGGCTGGAAAAATCATGCCATTATATAAAGATGCCTTAGACTGACTGGGTTGATTGTACTAAGCCATGGTTTATTTAGACATGTAAATAATATCACGTAACACCTCTTCCTGGTTACATCTAGCCATCTCATCAGCTCCAGCAGGAAAGGCTTGTTACAGGTCCTGCCTGCTAAAGGGTTCCATCTGACAGGACCCAGGAGATGAGCCTTTTCTGCCAGAGCACCCATCCTTTGGAACATTGTTTCCCCAAGGTGAGATTAGTCCCAACCCTATTGTCCTTCTGGAAATCTCTTAAAATGTTTTTTTTTTCCAGCAGGCTTGAGAATCCTATGGTAATAGGAAGCCCATGAGATGGTTGTATTATATGTGAGATTTTGGCACATTCTTCTGTGATCTTAGGTTGTTTTTAATGGTTATTTAAGATTTATTTTGTTTGTTTTATTGAACGCCACCCAGAGTCACGTCAGTGAGATGGGTGGTTATATAAATTTGATAAATAAATAAAATAAATGAATCAAATAAACCACACATATATTGTGCTAATCATAAATCAGATTTATTAAACCACAGTAACTGGATTCAAATATTGCATGAATCCAGGAGTGAGCCACCTGTGACACTCCAGATATTGCTGAATTAAAACTTCTTAGCCCTAGCCAGCAATACCAATAGCAAGGGATGTTATAAGTTGAAGTCCAGTAACATCTGGAGTAACATGGGCAATCAACCCCTACAAAATGAAGTACGTTTATGGCTAAGCACACATAAATGAGTCCAGCCTGTGTTAGACATCCATTTCATCAACCAGAAGTAGACATCCAATGTGTGCTGTTTAAAATTAATTCATCTCACAAGTTATCTTTGTTTCTTCAGTAACCAGACCATTTGTGGATACTTTTGTGGACTCTACCTCAGCCTGTTGCCCACCCTCAAAAGGATGGAGTGAAAGGGCCTTCTGCAGCATCTGCCTTTTGCTTTATTTATAAGGCCAATCACCATCATTCAGTATGGCAAAGATAGCTTGATAAAAGGAATAGAACTGCTGCCTCTGAGAATTGTATCAGTACCAAAGGAGCAAGGATGACAACAGCTCAGCGCTGCTGAGCTTCTCTCTGTAAGCTTTGGATCTGCAAAGGATGCCAAGCCCCTGTTGTTTGGGAGGACTTCTCATGAAAATGCCAGGATGTACATGCCTTTTTGCTGTTTCTCCGTTATAAAGGAATGCTACTGAAACAGAAGCAAGATCCCCTATGGGATCCTTCGTTCTCTGGAGTGAAATCCTCATGCTTCAAGCTTTATTGATCTATGTGCCTTGACAAGAGGGAGGTCAGGACCTAGACTGAGCAGATGTTGCTTGCTCCCCTTAATTCCCAAAGCCATCAAAGGCTCCTTTAGAATCTTTAAGCAGCTGTCTTATGGGAGATGAGGGTGCCTTAGTATTAAAGGAATTGGGGCCTCTCCTCATTGCTTGAGCTGCAAGCTCAGCCCCAACAGCAATGGCATTCTACTTGATCTCCTCTGCACTTTTTAAAAACTTTGCCTTGATTGGGGTACAACTTTACTTACAGGGGTATCTGCACTTTGGAGTGAAACCCTTGTATATGAGGTTTTTATATATCTACTGTATATATAAAGATGGGCTTTGGAAGGAAAGTTGATGTTGCACAAGTTATTTTCCTTTTTATACATCTGAAGTTCTCATGTAGCAACTCCAGAATGAGGAAACAGGTATGTCCATATAAACCTGTAATTACCATAACATGCCAATTCATATTTAGCTAAGGTCCCCTCAAACGGGCAGCACCAACCTGGCCAAAATAAAGAAAAGGTGAACCCAAAGGAGATAAATAAATATATATTCAGAGAACATTCCAAATTCTTTGATCTTTTCTTTCTCTTCCCAGTACAGTACTTACTATTATATTTTGAGCTCCCCTCTGAGGTTGGGTTCAGATCAAGAGCTTTTGGTAGAGCTATTCTGTTTTCCTCCATAACCTTTTTGGATTAAAAAATGAGAAAAGCAGATAGTGAGAAAACAATGGTTACAAGTAGGAGATAATGGCAACTATCCCTACCTTCTCCCATGTATTTCTGTCAATAAGGCAGGCATTAGCACAAAAGCTTTATCAGGAAGTCAGTCCTCTGGAGGGCATACAAGATCCACAGGCTGTTTTGAATCCCCCTCTCCCAGAGCAGAGAAGGCTGCATTCCTGCACTGAGAGATGATCCAACCTACTAAGCCCCTTCTTGACTGCCAGTGTTTGACACACCAGCATTAGTGCTACAGTGCTTGTTGGTAGGGGCAAAAAAAAAAAAAAAGTGTGCTCTTGGGGTATTGGGGTGAGAAAAAGTGAAGGCTTGGAGCCACCAAATCTAGTCTTCTCATTTCCCTGGCACGTATGCATACAAGCAGCAAATTTATGGTAATACTGGAGCCAGTATAGATTAATTCACATCCACTGCCATCAGTAGAACTTCCAAGGGAATAAAATGGGCCAGTAAAAAGGGAAGAACCATAAAATGCTCCTCTTCTCCATTCTGGCACAATCCCAGAAGGCATTGTATTCTACTATTCATTTCTGCTCCCATCCCCAGTAGAATTCTTTAACAGCCAACCTCTTCAATGGGAGAGGCTCATTCCACAGTAACAGAAATGTATTTATGAAAACCACCATCGTTTGGATACACCAAAGAGGAACCATCTCCTGATCAAAGCTCTTTACGAGCAGAGGAGGGACTCTAACAGAATCAGCAAAGACAAATGGATGGGGGTCATTTTATAATAGGAGGGATCTGGGTGAAAGTGACAAGCAGAAACTGTCACACATTTCAGCTATTTGAGTCATTTGCTCCCCAAGACTTCTCACGTACCTGAGTTTGGGGGAGGGAATTACTCATGTCAGGTATGTAATTCTTCCAGCTCTGAGGACAGTTTATTCCTCTATACCAGTTGCTGAAGAACAGAAGTGGTAGATACTATTGGATTCAATCCTGCTTACGTGGTTGATATAAATATATTGCTGGCCATTCTGGGGAACTAGTATTAGGTTAAAATATAACTGCCCTAATCAGCTCTTGATCATTCCAGAACTGAATTTAAAATCTTTTATATTGAGAGGAGGGGAAAAAATCTGCTGTTGAAATCAGAATTGCAAACCAATAATACAGGCCAGCTTTTACTAAAGGGAAAATTCCCTTCTTCCCCTTCTAAAGAAATTCACATTTGATAAATGCCTTGTCTGGCTTCTGGTCAAATGCTGGTTTAATGATTTACTTACTCCAAACAGAACACGAGAAACAATAAGAGCAGCAATACATTGTCAAAGTAGCACATCAAAAAGCTGATGGCCTGGAAATAAACATGCCAAAGCCTGCAAGAATTCTGCTTGATAGAAAACTTCAACTCTGGGGATTTGTGCCATAAAAGTACAGGCTCATCGTACAGATACTAAATGTCAAGTTCATTTTTCCACTTCCTGAAGCCACCCTTATACATATATATAATTTTTATTAAGAATTTTGATTATAATAGTAAAATGTAATACAAGCTAAACTTAAAGAGAATAGAAAGGAGTAAAAAGTGCAAGAAAAAAGAATATAATAAAGAAGAAAAGAAATATATAAAGAAGTGACTTCCAACCTTCATCACAAGTATAAACAAATTTAGTGACTCTTTACCCTCTCCAAGGTTACAAACATTTATCTCTTCATCTCATATCCCATCTCTTATCTATAATCCATAAGGCACCATCTTTTCAGTCCTGGTGTCAGCAGAAAGTCCATAAAGGATAACCAGAAGTAACAACATATATTTTAACCTTGATCAAATAAACCAACTTTATATTCCTTCCTTTTACTTCTAACAGTCTTAATCTTTAGTTCGTTCAAATATTGTTGTAGGATTTGATTTCTGTTCACTTCTTTTTTTGTCCCATCACACAGAATTCTTCAAAGCTTTAACAAGCCTCTTTTGTAAATCCAGTAGGAAAACATTATCCAGGAAAAAAAATTAGGTTTCTCATTTGTATTTCCCTTTTAAATTTTAAAACCTCAGCCAATTTCTTTTGTAGATCAAGTTAAACATCCTTTTCTAAATCATTCTCTTGGCCTGTCAGTTGTAAATG